AAAATTTGTGGCAGAATTATAATACATGGAAATATGTTCAGCATCAAAGGCAACAAAAACGACCCTATCGTTGATGTACTTCGTTTTGGTACATCGACGGCGTAGGTTCACAATCAAATATCTCGTTTGCGGTATCTAAAAATCTCCGCCTCTATATTATCTTTTAAAGGAGAACAAATTGACATCATTCTTTGAAGTTTTTGCAGAATTTTCTTCGCTTCGAGAAGAAAAATCTTGGAAGTTTTAAAAAATTGCCGTTGAGAAGTTTTCCGTTTAAAGAATAAAGTATGACAGGAAGTCTGCGACGTCGCAAACAGAGTTATGTGACAGCTGACTTACACCGTCGATATGTTTCCTTTGTTAGCAACACAAGCCGAGACGTTATCAACATACGTTGAAAATTTGTGTTGGCACGGACCAGCACATGAACACAACCAGTTGAAATCAAATACATTTTTTCACCGAAAATTATTTTCTTTGCGTACCCTGGTAAAAATTGGCAGTAGAATGTGTGTTCTAAAATACTATAGACCTAAAGCCGGCTGTAAGATTTCCAATAGCTTCTTTAGCCGGCTGTACAATTTCTTATAGCCTTTTATAGCCGATGGCGATTAAGCAACAGCCAGACGATAAAGTTTATAATAAACATTACTAATTACGGATACTAGGACTTAGTTAGTTTTTGGACTACCGCTCTCTTTTTGTGCGGTGGAATCTTAATTTATTTTGCGAGGAAAGCTCCGCACTTTTGATGGATGCCTGCCATTACTAACATATTAGAGCGCCTTCAGTTTCGTATGATACTGTGCAATACCTCTGGTGTGAAATAGTTGCTTCAAGCGCCGTGGCATGGCAGGCAGCCAGCGCGGAACACGCATTGGCGCCTACAAACCTAACAGGGATACTTCACGCGTTGCGCAATGCGTGAAGTATCCCTGTTAGGTTTGTAGGCGCCAGTGCATCGCCGCTCCGCTTTGTATTAGGCTCTAATATTTAATCTCGCAGAGTCAGCGTTTTTCAACTCATGATTTTGTAATGTTTGCACACTCTGTATTCTCATTTTAATTGATGAAAAAAAAATATGTTTTAAAGGAAAATATAATGTGTGTTTTGTAAATATTAAGGTAGTTCCGTATCAAACTTAAGTAATGATTTCCAAAGCACACGAATTTCTACACAATTTCTTTTAGCCTTTTATAGCCAATGGCGATAAATTGTAAAGCCCGGCGATAGGAACTATAGCCCGACTGTATACTTTTTTATAGCTTCGTATAGTCCGGCTATATGATTTGCTCCGCTTTCTACAGTCAGCTATATGATTTTCAATGGCCTTCTTTAGTCGGCTATAAGAACTCCTATGGTATTTTGAAACGCAGCTTCTATCGCCAATTTTTACCAGGGTAAGGAAACTTGATCCAATCACTGTCAAAACCATCAAATCAAATGCCATTTTTGTTAAATTGAAGAAATCTTTCCTAAATATATTTTTCCGCTTTGATTACTTTAAACTTTTACACGATTTTCTTCGAATAATTGAGGGAAAATATACCAATTATAATTATACCTTTGAATAGCTTGGATCCAGTAAGCATTTTTTTGAAAACGGAGTGCTTCTGGAATTGATTATAAACTTATGGACGATAAAATCCTGATAAATTAAAAGTTTTTGCATTTCTTTTAATAAGAAAGCAATACAGGAAAGATGTATTTGTTTGCACGTGAGGGATTTACAATACATCAAACGCTCCCAAGTCCTAGCTGAAAAAATAATCATCAGCTGAGAAAGTACATTGTTGTAGCAATATTGTTCGCAACTTGCGCTTGATATAATGCACCTGATAAATTTCAAACATTTTAATAAAAATGGACGTTCGAATGTCCTTTTCACCGCCACGTCCCGAAGACTTCCCTGAAGGTTTGACAAAGAGTCTCGGGAATCGTCTTCAGTTTGCGCCTGAGAAAAAAAGGAGAACTTTAAATCGAATGAAAAAGGGAAGCTTAAAAAGGAGGCGGGAAGTCGGTCTTTGACTCGTGCTAACTGACATCAAAGAGAGGCTTTGCAACAATGTTGTCAAATTTTCATGGCCTGAATGAACCATTGTATGTTTCCGAACGTGCAAATGATTCTCAGAGTAAATTCTAGGGTACTAAAATAATTAGCAGAAAAGAAGAGGGAGCAGAGGAAATAGAAAAATAATGAGACGAAGAATAATAAAAACAAATAAGAGGAAGAAGAAGAAAAAGCAGAGTAATAAGAGGAGGAAGAAGATGATAAAATGATTAAAGGAAGAAAAAGATGGAAACATGATTAAAAAAGGAGGAGATGAAAAAATTATTAAAGGAAGAAGAAGATGGAAAAATGATAAGAGGAAAAAGAACAAGGAAAGTAATGAAAGGAAGAAGAAGAAGAAAAATGATAAGAAGAAGAAGATTAAGAAACATGATTAAAAGAAGAAGAAAAAGAAACATTATAAAAGGAAGAAGGGGGAAAAATGATAAGAAAAAGAAGAAAAGGAGAATAATAAGAAGAAGATGAAGAAAAATGTTAAGAGGAAGAAGATGAAGTAACATGATAGGAGGAAGAGGATGATGACAAATGACGAGGAAGGTGAAGAAAAATGATAAGAGGAAGAAGAAGGAGAAAAATGATAAGAGAAAGAGGAAGAAAAATAAAAATGGAAGAAGAAGATGTGAAAGCACAAAAACATCAGAAGAGGGACATCGCAGACACGCAGTTTTCAATATTAGCCATAGATAAGCATATTTTCTTCTCGATCGAAGCATTTTTAATACTGATTCAACAGAAAATCTTCTTAATGGATGATTTAAAACATTTCTTTCCGAGTAAAGTCGATTTACAGTCACAATGTACACTTTACAACGCCGCGAACCGCAAAACAAGGGATTTCGTAACCTCCATCGATTTGAAATGTTTGCAATCCCGAGTGCAGCTCTACTTTCGGGCCGGAGTCTTCCCTTTTTTCCACATTATTTATTTCACTTCTTTTAACGACGAGCTTCCCGAAGCTCGACCTCATCGTAAGCTAATTTAACGTGGTCTCGACAACTCATCGTCAGTTTTGAAAAGGAAGAGGAGCCTCCTCGCGGATGCAAGTCAATTATTTCCAACGAGCCAAACTTCTTCAAACAAGATTTCCGAGCTGTGCGAAGTTTAAATTGCTCGGAAACTCTCGAATCCGGCAGTTTCGAGATATTAACGACGTTAACAGAGCGCTTCCCCGCGCCGTCTCCGCCCGATTCGCGATTGAAAAGCTGTATAACCGCTAAGCTGTGTCACTTGGTAATTAGCAGACAATGATCCTCTCGCGTAATTGCTTCAATACATGTTGAGAATATTTGGGGGAAAAAACGGAAGAAATAAATGGATAACTCCAATTCTAAAGGAATAAACCTCTTCTAAGCTAGATAAAAACGTACACCGTTCCGATGGAAAATGAGCAGGGAGGGGCCATTCAAGTTAACGTAAAAACTGGATGGGGGGGTTGTTTTAAGTCTGCATTACCGGGTTTCAGAATGGTATCTGCGGGTTGATTGTTGAAATTTTTAGAAGAATCTACAGACAAAGAAGACTGAGGGAGTATGGAGCGATCCCATTGGTTGAAATGGTTGGTAACTAGAGATTGAGGGATACAATGATGGACTAACTATAGGGTCTCTCGTGGGTCGTCTTCAGTTTGTCTATTACCTCCCTTCTTTTTCCATTGGAATCACACGCTTCCACCAATAGGATCCCTCTATATCCCTTTTGTCTTCTTGATCTTCAGCTTTGTCTATTAATTTTCTCGAGCAGCTCGCAGAATTGAATCGGTTTCAGTTGAACGGGCGTAAGTCCAAAAATGCATGCGCCAATGAGCCCTGGCTTTCGAAGATCACGCAAGACGCTAAGGCTGAGTTTTTGGACTTAAGCACGTCTAACAGAAACTCATTCAACTATGCTTATAATGGTCTGTTTTTGGGGTTTTTTTAAAAAAAAATGTTTCAATAAAAATGATTTTTTGCCATTTTCCTACACCACCACCACCACCACACTGAAAAAAAAAAAGTTCAGTGATGCGAGCCGAAGTTCGGGAAATGCAAACCGAATAGTTAGGAGAATATGGAACCACAAACTATTCTGTATACATTGGCGAACTAGTTCGGTACCGGAACTACCGACCCAGTTACCGGTCGTGATTACCGCGAATTATTCGGTTCGTCCCACCGAACTTTTTGTGATTATTTTTCAGCCAAAATTATTAAATTTAAGCGCGATACACGTTTATTCTTCTTAATTTTCATCGCGGACTACAGAGAAGTGATTCTGAGAACCCCAGAATCAAGGATGGACGGGATTAAGCCACGCCGCGCCGCGCCCAGGTTCCCAAGCGGTCACGGTCACCCATCGGATCCATTTCAAGCAGATTTTGTATTGATTCAAGCGGATTTTGCATTGAAACAAGAGTCCAGACTCTTAAATCCGGCGACAAGAGACTGCACTCTTGAACCAAGAGGTTTTTTTTTACCAGTGTATACATCATCCAGTTTCACAATGAAGGATTCGAATATGATATAAAGTAGATCAAGGTTTTGAGAGGAAGGAGTTTGAACAACACATGCAAAAAATAAAATAAAATATGGACGGATTAAAAGTTATCAAAGTAAATAAAATGAGGTAAATGAAATAAGATAAAGAAATAATATAAATGAATGAAAAATGAATAGCCCAACATTTTGGGAACATTATTTTTTTTTAAACATTTTTTCAAAGAGTTTAGAATAAGAGAAAAAATCTTTAGGCTCAAACTGAAGCCAGTGAGGAAGAGATGATCTCTAAAAGATGGCAAAATGCATGCAATGGAAATTTTTTTATAATTATTCCCTGGTCCCATCTAAATTGAGCAACATTCTTTTGACTTTAAGCCGCAGATATGAATGAATCTCATTCAATACACAAAGGAGTCTGGAAAGTAAAATAGATGAAGAAAATGTTTAGAGGAAAATTTATTTACAGAAAAAATATCAGCATGGATTTCAAAAATCAATAAGGACACAAAGGCAAGAATGAGAAAAACGTATTTGAACATATCTATGGATCAACACATAATAATACGACGCCAACCGAACGCTTCCGACAATCTCTGAATATATACTGAAAGTTCGATGCGCATTACCAAATGATCGGTTTCCATGACCCTAAAAGTTCTTACCGAACTCGGTTGGTCGTGTGTTCCGAACGCCGTAATGCCGTTCGGTTCACAAAACCCAATTCTTTGGTTTGTGCCACCGAACAACCGTATACCGAAGGGTTCGGTAAGAATCACCGAACTTCTTTTTCAGTGATACCAAAATCAACAAAAAATTTGTGTTTCACCTCCTGCACTCATCAAAAGTAACACAAGGACACAAATATGTTTATCAGTGCAGCTCCTTCTGATTTACTGCTTTTCACGTGATTTTTTAAAGCATAAAAGTGTCTATCTGAAGTAGTATGCATAGTGCATGTAATTTTAAACCTACCTAGTACCTCACAGTCAAAAAGAACAATTAAATCTTGCATACAACATCTATCACCGTTTATTTCCGAATTAATTTTTTCGCGGACAAGTATTTTTTAAAATGTCTCAATTGTCTGAATACAGCAACATTCTCAAAGTCTTCTACAACTATCTCCGCAATGAAAACGATCAAACTTAAAAGAAGACCTAAAACAAGACTTAAAAACGGTAGCTGTAAGTCATTTAAACCGTAAGGCCTGGGCTCATTGTCTTTCGGTGGTGGAGGGGCGGCCTCTGGTTGGTCGAATTGATACCGACTCGGTTCGAAGGTTTTACCGATTAGACCGGCTTCCAGAAATAGCGCAGTTTTTCGTTTGTAGGCGTCGAACAAAATCGAGTTTTTCAAGAATTTGAAAAAGTAAGAATTCGATTTCAGGCACTCTGGAACCAAATGGTACTCAAATTTCTCCTTGTAGGGCCATTTGGTAAGGATAATACGGTCCCCTGAACGACTGAGGGTACGCGGCAGAGAAACTAAAAACGCATCTTCCTCCATAATCCCGTGAACATTTTTCGTGAACTGCTCCGAAATCGTCACAGGATCAGAGTTTGGATCAATCTCATTTCCGATGTCTCGAGTGCCAGCAAGCTGCCAGACCTGTTGTTCATTATTTGGCTGTTGAACATACCAAATAGATTCCGTCATTATGTAGTACCCTAAACTGCAATCCAATTTGGCTCTCATCTCCTCCGACAGACCGAGCTGAGAGAAAAATGTTGCCGCGGCTTCAACGTCTGAGACCTGAATGGACAGATCGGAACCCTCCAAATCCTTCAGGGTATCGATTTCGGGATAATGCACCGTATTCGTTAGCAACGTAGTCATTCCGCCTAGAAAAATCGTAGAGATGATGAGCGCAGAGAAAATGAAAATTATAAATAAGATTTTTCCGGTTAGTAGCCTACCGAGGAGTATACGTGGCGGACTACCACACATAAAGTAAGCGTACACCGTGTAAACCGACGAAAAATTATCGAACAGAGAAATTTCTCTTTCCGAATATAAGCCGCTGAGACACCCTCTGTGAACGTAAAGGAAAATATGTAGCGTCAAGAGGAATGCGGCGACTGTAATGACGATGAAAACCCAGACCGGAACCGAAAAAACTTTGAACGGCACCAAACACTGCGGCACCAGCTTACTGTGCGGCACTAGAACGCACGTAGCTTCCGTTTCTACTCCGACTGAAAAATCGAACTTTGAGTGGTCAGCCGGAATTATGGTTGTGCCTAACTCTACTTGCTGCAAATCGATGTCAAATTTTTGACCGATTTCATGTCCGATCTGCCTATTGGCGTAACCTGTCCAATACGTTGTCGTGCAGTTCAAAGATGCCATTAATGCTTTTATGATTTCAATTTGGACGAACATCATCCATTCGGCGAGATACCACTCCATAACGATGTCACCCTCGTAGTCGTCCATTAATAGTCTTACTGTTTTCTTCTGCATGTTAGTTACGGCAAAGTCGAAATAAGCCTCGTTATCTCCACCGTCGTACCACCGGATATTTTCGGTGAAAGGGTCGTATCTACTGCAGCCGATCTCTTTGTAGCAGATGATTGTTTTCAGTCCGCGAAAAAACCGCCAGAAAAATTTAAAACAAAAGATCATTGCATCATTTCCGTTCGGGGTGAAGGTTTTGTTTCCTGAATTTAGAGCATAATTCTGTGTTGGTGGGAGGACACAGGTTGGAGAATGACACAAATCCGGGTCAATCTCACTGAGCATGAAAATCAAGTAATTATTTGAGTTCCAAATTGGGTTTGTGTACAAACCGCGGGTCAAGTTTAAATTCTGATCTGATAAAACTGAGGAGCCTATCAGCTCATCGGAGGAGATGAACATTTGCTCGTCACAAATTCGATCCATCGTTAACTGCGAGTGCCCATCAACTGTGATGCAGTAACTTGGAAATGTTCTCATTCTTCTGGACTCGGAGGATGTTAAGTTAGCACGTTTAATTTTGTTGTGCTTACAATCCTTGTGATGAATATTTTCTCTCGAAGCCGAACTTAAAATCAGACTTGGGATCTCCTCCAAATCATCAAGGAAAAATAAAATATTCCTAACCTGAGGTTTATCCCGGAAGTTTGTTAGCTCGCAGTAGTGAGTTGTCAGAACGGTTGGGATCGATGAAGTTTGTAAGGCTTGAATCAAAGCAGGCACTGACGGGTCGGAGCTGAAGTCGGCCAGGTAGAATGAGCCCTGCCCGGATTTTTGGATTGTATTTTGACAAACTCTGAGTGCAAGCGAGATTGAACGTCCATTGTCTTTGTCAGTCGTGCTAAATTTTCGAGATTTCCGGATTCCTGCATTGACCGCTACAAACAGGAATGAAAAATAAAAAATCCGATGAAGTTTGTCACGCATGCTGTAATTAAATACAATTTTACTCACATTGTAAGATTGTTAAGTCTAAATTTATTTTTGTCGAGTATGGTCAAATCATGTTTTTCACACGAGAGTCAAAAAAGCTCGGAGGAATGTGGAGTGAAAAACTACGATCGAAGAACTATATGTGACCGCTGCTCTCGGAAAAATAAACTGATAACAGGGAAAAGAGTTCAAACACAGAAATGTGTGTCAAAAGTGTCCCTAACTTAAGAAAAAGCGTTTCCAGTGTTTTTTGTCTGTCAACAAAAGCTGGAAATGTCATTCATTTTAAAGTAAAGTTGTCTCTAAAATTCTCTGACGGGGGAAAAAAAATCATGTTCACAATATTTACAATAATTTGCGGAAAAAATCCCCGTACAAACGTTAAGTGTTTATACTACCTCTTTAACCTGGACGTATTCATGCTAAAAGCAACAAGAGACGGGTGAAAAGAATGAGTGTGCTCGTTAGTTGAGGGTCGTAAGAATGAATGGGAATCAAAAGGCACCAGTGACGTCAGCGGTGACGATGTTCCGCGGATCTGAGTCTTAAACTCATGAGCCCTGTCCACAACACTCTTGTCATAATTCCATGGCTCATGAGTTAGCATAGTTTGGCACTTAGTTCCTTTTGATTTGATGTAAAATCCATTTTCCCATAAGGAATCACGCCCACTTGAAAATTGCTTATTATGCTTGCACGAGCATACCCCATATTTCCCACACTTCTCTAGTTCCTTTTAGCATAAATACGTCCACCTGTCCTTTGGTGCCAGTCAGCAGAATATCATGAGAAAAATATATTTCAAGGTGAGATGCCACTGCGAGATTTTACCGTGAGTTACTTGAATCGGTTTGAAGTGCTGGTTCGTATGTAGAAGGAAAATAACGAGACTTTTCCACTTGGAACATATCACTGCCTCAATAAAAAGAAAATATGGAAACTTTTTCAAATCTTTAGCTAAAAAATCGGAGGAAATTAGTAAGGTGGAAAGTATCGCTCTAAATTGCATAGATCTCTTCACAACACGTGGTTTCTCCTCTGATTGCTCAGCTGTTGTTTAGAACAGACTTTTGTAAGGTACTTACGTTGTTATATTTTTTCACATCGCCGCCACGCCCAGTGGTTCAGAAGTCTATCGTAGAGGGACAAACTGATAAAACACGAAAACTAAATATTTCAATTTACAATTGAGTCTTTCAGGGCTGGCTGGTAATATGAGACGAAATGTTGGCAAAAACTATTTTATATGGACCATCAGTTAAAATAAATGAGATTTTAAAGTTTTGGGCGTGCCCATTCGCACAATATTCATTGCAATGATACAATAGAAAAATTCGTTACTTTAAAAATTGGTCCAAGCTGTTACGCTCAAAATTGTAAATTTTACTCGATGGATGCAATGATACACTGTTGAAAATCGAGGAGTGAAAATCACCTCTACTCACCTATGAGGCTACTTTCACTATTTTATTATAGTGATAACTGGAGATATTTTACACTGGTAAAAATCTTGGAGTGAAATTCTGTGCCGGAGTCCACATAGCGCCAAAAAAATCCTGAGTGACATGAATGTGAAGCAAAAATTGGCATCGTAGAAGCGTAGGACATTACGCAAAAATAGAAAATTACGGTCCGTAATAGTGTGAATCATTCTGTACGTAACGAAAATAGATTTCACTCTGAATTCATATTACTCGGGGGTTTCGGGGCTAGTTTGGGTTAGATGAGTTGAAGTGATTACGTACGTATCGACGGTGAAACTACCAAACCACGTATCTCGGTTTGCGACGTCGCAGACTTCCTGTCATACTTTATTTTTTGAATAGAAAACTACTCAACGTCAGTTGATGAAAACTTCCGTGATTTTTCCTCTTTGTGCGGAGAAAAATCTGTGAAAATTGTTAGGAAGGATATTGATTTGATCTCCTTCAAAAAAATAAAATGTGAGTAGAGATTTTTAAACACCGCAAACGAGATACGTGGTCTGGTAGTTTCACCGTCGATATACAAAAATTGTTAATATTGATATCCTTTGCAGCCGTACTATGGAAAAACGCCGTAGGAGCCTTTAGACGTCAGATTTCCTTTACTAAAACCGAATTTACTGGGAAAATTTTGAATATTTTTCTTTGATTTTTTTAGACGATTTTGTTAGCAATTTCATCTCAAATATTTGAAAATTTCAAAGAAAAATATGTTTCAATTCCCTTAAAAATACATATTTACCCAGGAAAATTTGGCAACTCTCGAATGTTTATACGGCGTTTTTCCTTAGCACGGCAGTACTGGTCAGGTATGTCTCTGGCACAATGTTTTTGGAAATCTCGCGCTTCCTTCAAATTTCGCAAGAATCGATCATATGGTTACTATGTTCGAGAAAAACGGCTTATACCTGCGGAAAAAATAAACAAATAAGTATTTTCAAAAACATCCTTCTGTTTGATGCGAAAAATGCCATTTTTGTAAATCAATGAGGAAGTGAAAAAATGAAAGTTTATTCGCAGAAGTAATAGTGTCATCCTTCAAATCTAAAAAAATTAAAAAAAAAAAAAAAAAAAAAAAAAAAAAAAAAAAACACAAAACGAGGATGAAAATGAGCTTTTACAGAAGGAGCGTACTTACATAGGTACGTATAGAATGACAAGCTTCTAATTTGCACATGGATTTATTAGTGTTTTCTATAGCCTCATTCCATATTGGGTGGTTGGAACTCAGCAACTACTCGGCTAAAACGCATAAAAGACACAGCATATAACACGAAAAACAACGGATATGGAAAAAAAAATGTCTAGCTCCCACGGGCTATTCCTTATTCCTCGTTATCAGCGTTAAAAGTTTCATCCAACTTTCACGGACTCTCGACTCTGTGTGCGACGACGCCGGTCCGATGATAACATATCAGCGATCTCTCCGAGCGCCAGTTCCAATATTGGAAGATTGCGCGTTAGTTCCCCCCGCCGTCACAAGGTAGCGTGGCCGAGCGGTCTAAGGCGCTGGTTTAAGGCACCAGTCTCTTCGGAGGCGTGGGTTCGAATCCCACCGCTGCCAATGATTTTGCAAAATCAAGAGAGATGATTTTAAAGCGAAATATGCGCATAGGTATTATATGATAGGGTTAATTGTGCTAAAAATATACCATTCTTTTTTACGATTAACGAATAATTGAGGACTTCAATGCTTCACTGAAGAAAAAACTACGAATAAAATTTCTAGATGAAGGGTATAAGCATTACAATTAATAATGGAAACATTTTAACCATTAATTGATGATTTTGGCAAAACAACAGTAATTTCACCGATACCATGGTACTTTCATTGAACTACGCACTTTGGTATGATTATCACGTATTGGAAAAAGTACCATTATTACTGCTTATGGAGACCATTAATTAAGAGGTCATGCGGAACATGGCAATAATAAAGCAATTTTAAAAATAGGATCTTCTGGTGGCTAAAATAACACTCTACTGAACGTAATCCATTTATTCCCTGGAGCATGTTTAGGGTTTGTTAAAATGCCTGGGTTTACACTCGCTAGTGTCCGCTTATAACGGATTTAAATGGAGCTAATCTAGCGATCGCAACTTTCTAAACTAGTCACAAATCGTCGCTCCTTAGATGTTCCCAATGCTCCCCTTCTGATAATTTTGACACGCTACCATTTTTCTGATTAAAATCGTGAATTTCGACTTATTTCAATATCATCTCTCTAGACCAGTGGCGTGGCGTGCTTTGCGATATATCGATTGATTTGTCATTTAAACCTATGGGAAAGGATCGATAGACAGGGTGTTCGCAGCGAACACCTTAATAATCGATTCTTTACTATACCTACAAATGAGGAAATATCGATAATCGATCATTCACGCTACGCCACTGCTCTAGACCTAAAAAAAACTCAGGAGCCATCGAAAAAGTGCGCTAAAACACGGCGATTATATCATGAGTATCGTTTTTGAAAATTTGGACCCTGTAAAATGTTTTAGTCGGCGTGAAGTTACCACTTGGCAAACAGTGGTTGACAGTAATAGTCAATTTTCATTCGTTAATGCGCCTTCAATTACATTGGATACTGTGCAATACTTTCGTGGTGGAATAGTTGCATTGGCGCCTACAAACCTAACAGGGATACTTCACTCATTGCGCAATGCATGCAGTATCCCTGTTAGGTTTGTAGGCGCCAATGCAACTATTCCACCACGAAAGTATTGCACAGTACCCAATGTAATTGAAGGCGCACTAAGGTATGAAACTTGACTGTTACCGTCATGGTGTCAGGGGGTATTTTTTAACGAGGAACTTGAATCTCAACTCAAATTTTTAAAATTCAAAAATCCAAAATGGCAGAAATTGCCAAAAATGTTATCTTGAGACTTTCGAAATCTAAGACGGTTGACTGCCTGACCCAATTGAATGCTCTTCGTCACATACTTGGACATATTTATTTAGTATTTATAAGTATTTTAAAAGAAATCAGAGACAGGTGGGGAAGGAGGAGTCTGCTCGTTAGTTCAGGGCCGTAAGAATGAATGCCAGTGACGTCAGCGGTGATGACTCAGATATGCAACGACGAGGAGATCGGTGCTGGTGCACTTTAGCTCATGAACCTTGTCCACGACGCTCTCGTGACATGCCCACTCCATGCGGACTTCATCGTTTTTCCAGTCATGATAAGAGAAATTCGACTTTTTCTTTCCGTAAAATTCTGAGGGAATTTATTTCAAGTGGGTGGTGCTGAAGCTGTTATTCTCCGGAAAAACATTCTTTAATATCCTTCAGACTAAAAGCCTGGGTGTTTTAATCCATCTCTGTCACCAGAACAAGAACCGGATGCTCCTTTTGCGAGATCAATCATCAATTTGAAAAAAAGGCCTTCTGGATATTTAATCGCTCTTGTTTCAGAACAAGCGGATTCGAGCCTCGAGCTTTCAATCATTATTATGCCTCCGTAAGTTCTGAACTTTGTTTGCCATATTTCTCGTATTTATAGTGGTTAAAGGAGCGCATTTTTAAAACCTTTTAGCCTCGGCCTTTTAATGGAGAATTCGCAGGAAAATGTTTTATTGCTTCATCTGAGAGTGCTTAAAAAGCCAATTTCACAGTATTTTTTATAATTTTTTTCCAATATGGGAAATATTATAAAAATAGATTTAAAAATGAGAAAATTCACCGCTTAGTGAAGTCATCTAGCGGCAATGCCCATTTAAACACACGTATTTTAGCAGATTAGATCATTTTGTCATATCTTCTCCAATAATTGTTCAATTCATGAACTAAGGGTATCCTCGTGTTCAGTTCACTCGGTACGTAGTTTCCACTTAAACACGAAATTCATCAAAGTTCAGACACCTGCGAATTCTCTATTCCTCCTTTTCCCAAAAGTGCTGGTTTTTCATTGGTTGGTGGTTTTATCAAAAAAGATTTGAAGAGTTTTCTCTGAATTTTGTGAAAACGCTCCGCGGTAGATCCTCAAATTTTTGCTCCATTTTCTATTACTTCCTTAAATTTCAGAAAAATATAGACGTATTTATGTGTCAAGAGTCTGCGTTCAATATTAAAGGAGATGCTTCTCTTTATCACCAAAAACCACCATGGAAGACGTAATTTACCGCGTCAGTGCACAGTGCACATCGTGGTCCCTTTCTTAGCGTGGCCTCTCAATCGTTGAGATTGAACGGTGCAGTAACTGCAAGAGCGTTTAAATGTTGCTAAACTTCCAAATAATCATGAGAATTTTTGTGAGCAAATTGACAGAAAATTGCACGATGGATTAAAAGAGGAATTACATTCGCGGAAAAATTCAAGGAAAAAAGTGCGCGGAATCACTAAAAAGGTCTCATTAGTGACTGTCTGCGATAATCGAGGCTTTATTTTCCCCCAAATTTCAAAATTTAGGCATTGATGTCAGATCATAGCGGAGCGCCCTGTAAATACTTTGGAACGGAAAACTACGCCCGTAAAATTCAAAACTATG